GGGACTTTCTTGCCAAAATTTATAATCCTTTTTCACCAATATGAGCCAGTCTTTTGTGCCACAAATTTGATGAAGCATCATCTTCGACTGCATTCAATCCACCCTTGATCAACTTCACTTGAGTTCTATACAGTGTCGATCTCACTGTACCTCTAGCAGCTAAAATGATCCTTTGATAAGCCTCTATGTGCCGCTACCAAAATTGTTAGTATAGTCTGCTAGATTCAATGCAAGCACAGAGATCAGATTCAGACGTAAGTCAGGTACTTGTCGCACATCCTTCAATGTTATTGTGCACCCAATATCAGTTCGGATGCACACATCACCAACTCCCACAATATTTGAATTACTGTTGTTGCCCATCTTTATACTACCAAAGCTCCTTCTTTGTATAGAGAAAACAATTCCTTGTGAGAGGTTGCATGGTAAGATGCAGTTGAGTCAATGACCCATTCAACACATGAATCTGCAACATGACACCCTTCTTCTTCAACAGAGAGCAACACCACTTCCCCATTGATCACAGAGGTTGCGGTATTTTCATCGTTCCCTAATTTGTTGTTCCTCCGATCTCTGTTCTTCCAGGCTTTGCAGTTTCTTTTGATATGCCCTTCTTCACAACAGTGATAACACTTGAATTTTCTCCTGGGTTGAGATTGTGATTTATCTCTGGATTTGTTATTCCAGCCTCTGCTTTTACTTCTCCCCCTGGTTTCTGTGACCAGGTCTTGCGAGCTGCTTGCCCCAGAGTCTTTTCTTCTTGTTTCTTCACTAAACATACTGTCTTGGACTTGGGTCAAAGTCGGTTTTCCTTCAGAGGCAGAGTTGCTCAACGAGACCACCAGAGTCTCTCAGTTATCCGGTAAAGAACTCAAAAATAACAGCGTCTGCAGTTCTTCATCAAGTTTCATCTCCATGGTAACAAGTTGGTTCACCATGTCTTGAAACTCATTCAAGTGTTCTGCAACTGATCTTTCATCTCGGTATTTTAAATTTACAAGCTTCCTAATGATAAAAGTTTTATTCTGTGCAGTCTTCCTCTGATACATTTGTTCAATTTTGTTCCACAGAGTATGGGCTTTTGACTCTGTGGCAACATGGTGGAATATGCTGATATCCACCCACTGCATGATTAAAATGACAGTCTTCCTGTGTAACTTTTTCCAATCGTCGTCATCCTTCACATCATCTGGCTTGATGTCTCCATTTACTACAGGATCATACAGATCTTTATAGAAAAGTATGTTCTCCATTTTTAGCTTCCAAATGGAGTAATTTGTTGTTGTCAACTTCACCATGGTAACCATGTTCTCCTCCATTTAATTTACACTGGTTGATACAGAGTCCAACTTAAGATCTGATATCACTTGTTGGGCTCAGATGCGCAAATGCAGAAGGTGTAAATTTAAACACCGCGGTAAAATGGTGAAGAATAATCCCAATCCTAGCAACTCAAGAATGACAAAAGAAATCTCTTGCAATAAGACAGGAATAATTCTTTTCTGATGTGGAAGATCAAATTAAACTGCAACCATAGAACATACTAAGAATATCTCAACTAAATAAAACATGCAAGGAAGAAGACACCAAGATTTAAAGTGGAAAAACCTCCAATGTAGAGGAAAAAACCACGGGATAACCTCCGAACAATTCCACTATATTTTCAAGATAATTACAATATCTTTTCACACTCCATACACTAGAAATGTAAAATATAGTGTCCCAGTGAGACCTCACTCCTATTCAAATATTACAAACAAGGAGTAATAAAGATGATACCCAACCAGTGTATTTTTCCCACACTCACAGGATTTACTCAACACTCTATTTTTATCTCACTGAAAAAATTAACACTCCAGAAATTTTATTTTTGCTCTCTTTTTCTTTCAGCTTGGTATGTCATTTGTGCAGCCTGATGTCCTCTATTTATAGTGGTGGATTGCTCCTCATTTGTCAGAAAAATGTAGCCCCCCCGTAGCTTTGAATTTCGGCCATATAAATGCTTCAAATATTGTTGCTCAATTTTGTCAAATATGGCTAGCCACAGCAGCCATACATTAATGTTGCACATTAAATAATTGGTAGTCCACTAATTTGGTTGGACTCTGACAGACTTTTCCGAAACTAGAATTAAAATCTAGCCTAACATAAGAAATAATAAATCAAAGAGAAGAACTCGCGTTGCTCTATCCGTGCGTCTCTATCTTTTTTTCTCTTCTCTGTTTTTTTTTTCTCTGGTTGGTGGCTCTCTATTGTGTATGTATGTGGCGGCTGCGTGTTTGATGTCCCCTAATTAAATCTGTATGTGTCCATGCAATTGTGGGCTCTCCAAATTATGTCTAACCCAAATAAATCACGTAATTCTCTCCTCCAAAATAATTCTCCCCTCACGTCTTGGCTTTGGGTTGCTTTTCTTGGGCCTCTTTTTGTTTTTCATGTCCAGCTCACCAATTAATTAATTACAACGTCCCAAACAAATAATATAAATCCTTCGCTAATGTGAGCAATGTGTGTTTGACTTCTTCGGCCCAAATACTTGCATTCTCTTTTCAGCCCAAAAGTACTGAAATAAATTATAAAATAATCAAAGCAAACAAATCCATCTAAATAATAAATAGGTCGAAAATATATAAGTGCGACAAAATTAAACATATAAAATTACGCTAATAAATAAAAAATACACACTTTCTGACCAATCACATGTGGTCTGCATCATATTCTTGAAGAATATAGTGTGTCTCACTGGAGAGTATTGGTATACTCTACCAATAAACCATTTGTTTATGTGTCTATGAGAGAATCGGTACGTGGAATGATGTAATAGTTCGTTGACTTGAGGTCAATACACTATTCATGTATAGAGTAATTTACTTAGATCTAGTCCAATACTTACGCTCCTTACGGGGTAGATACGGGCTTGTGTTAATATGAGATAGAATGATTAAGCTGTTTGGGTAAACACACGTTCACGTCATAAGCTTAATCGAGTGGTTCGTGAATGAAAGGATCATATCACCATTAAGTTCTACACTAAAGGTTTGTCAGCTTTGTCTATGTAAACATGCTTCATATTTTGAGTTCGTCCTTTTAGTCTAGGGATTTCGTAAGGATCATAAATTAGATTTATGTCAATGTATGAAAGTCTATAGGGTCATAAATATGCAATCAGTTTTTCGACTAAGAGTGAATTGAGAGTGTTAAATATTCAATTAGATTGGAATATTTATTTATGAGTAATGATAGTATTTTCTATTTGATAGAAAATATTTTAAGTTAAATTGAAGTTATACTTAATTAAATTATTAATTGGATTAGGTCCAATTACCTATTGGGCTATGAGGTCTCCTAAGACCCATAAAATTAGGTTTGACTTAATTATAAGTACCTCATTATCTCTTCATAATCATTGATATAACAAGAGATATAGATCGTCTCCCTAGCTTTCTGACTAAGGATTCCTAGCTTCTTCACCTAAAGAGATTCAATGGTATTGGATTGTGCTCAGGAAACTGGATCGTGATATCTACAAATTTTTGGCCGGATTTTCGTTTCTGTTTTATGTAAATAGAACATCGGATTCGTATATGCATACTTTATCCGATAATAAAAATTAAATAGATGAAGCTATACACTTTACCTATTTAAAAAATAAAACTCAAGATACATATAGAGATTTGTAGTTGGAAATTAATCAAGTGACCAGACATATATTTATTTTCCCATGTTTAGTACTCTCGTTTTAAGTCAAGAGGCCATATACAAAAGATATTCCTTTATAATTTATAGATATTTGTTTTTAATTTTAAATATGGAATGTTGCGACTAAATGATATTAATTGTAATAGATATGGAATGTTGTGGTTGTATAATAGATATGGAATGTTGTGGTTGTACTATATATTAAAGAAGGATCTTCAAAATTTATAGATAAATATGTTACCATAATAAACAAAAGGTACCCAAAAATAAAATTAAACTATTTTTTAAATTCAAAAGTAAAGCTTTGGAGGGATTTTTTCAATTTTTTTTCAAAAAATTACCAAGTTTAGTAATTCTGAAAATATTAGGCGGAATTTTAGTTGCTATTACAAGTAAATATCAAACCTTTTGATATTGATATTGATATTGATTTTGAAATTGCAAATATTTTTCGCAAGAAAAAAAAAATAAAATAAAAATCACATGCATATTCTCCATGAAGGCTAGAATTGTCAATGAACCAGCGAGCAAATATCTTTAGCCGCTAGGTCTTTATATCTTTAGTCCATCGGCCATCGTCGGTTCTTCCACTCCGGTGTAGCTTCTACACTCCGGCCATAGCTCCGGCGGTTCCTCATTTCCTGTCAACGCGCAAGTCTTTTCCCTACATTTCAATTTTAGTCTGCACCAATCCGAGCCCATTATCACTCTTTCGCTTGAAGACGGTAAATTTATAATTGAAGTTTCGTTAGGTTTAGATGAAATTCCGTTGTAGAGTCTTTCTTCTTATGTACTTAGCTAAAATCTAGAATCAGAATTAGTGTTCTCTTCAGTCCGCAGGCCATTTTATTTATTTGTTTATTTATTTTTTTGCTTATAATAGTTTTAATTTACAGTTGAATTGATTAGAGGATTGAGGAAATGAAGAAAGCAGTAATCTTGTCAGTATTTTTGTTATTTTTTTATTTTTCTGATATCTTGTCTGTGTAACTAACTAACTATTGCTGCATTGGCTCCCTCCTTTATGCCCCAAAGGATAAGAAAAATAAAGTGTAAAGTTGAAAAATATTGAAGCAAACTTTGCACTGATCAGATTTGTTCTTCTTTCGTCTATTGAAAAACAAATGCTGCCCTCTAAAATAGATACCATTGCCCTTTCTGAGCTTTTAATTCTCGTATACTTCGTTTTCTTGAAGGAGCGACAGTCGCGGTTTCGGGCCCTTACAGCAGATACACGTTTGCCTCGGTAATTCCTTGTAATTGTGTTTGTATCTTACCAGATTGCAAGTCCACCAAGGGCCATGACTCGATCCCATTTACGCAAAGAGAAATCGCAAAGTGGTTATCAAGTGGCAGATGATGATCACTTGGAGGGCACTTCTGCACGAACAAGACCACTGAGCTATGATGACGTAATGCTCATAAGAAATAACAAGAGAGGTGCAGCGAAAGTAGTTGCCAGTGACCCTGAAGATGCTAATATTGCATCAGGGCATGATGACCACAAGAAGAATTGTGATATCAAAGAGCATCATAGGGAAACAAACGAGGATTCGGAACCTATGGTTGTGAGACACACTTCAAATGACTCTCAGAAGGTTAGGTCTCAGCGGAAAAGGGATAGCAATGCTTCAATGAAGAGTGGAAAGTTTGTTCAGGATAACGATGAAGGGTATAGGAGTCGTACTTTCAGATTAAAGAGTGTATGGGAAAAAGTTGATGACAGCAAGAGAGAGAATGAAGAAGAAAATGAAAGAGGACATCAAGACAATAGAAGAAGAGATGGTCCAGTAGGTGTTGATTCTCATTATGGATCAAATAAGAGAGAAACCAGAGATTCATATAAAAAGGATGCAACTTCTATAAGAGGCAGAGTCAGATCCAAAGTTGATCGACAACATCTCCTTGACAATGAAAACCAGGTCAACAGAAAGAGGAAAACTGAACAGCTAATGAGCGGCGAGTCCGAGAAAGAGTATAAAAGATGGAACGAACAAGGTGTGATCCAGACAGAAAGATTATTAACCAACAGAGGCAGAGAGAAAGCCGAAAAAGAAACCAGACACAGACATCATAACGAGGAGGATAAAACTAAAAGCAGACATACAAGTAAAAGGGATGTTCTTGAAAGGAAAGACCCGGAGCTGCCACGAGCCTCTATTGAAGAGTCCAGAGCCAAGAGAAGAAGATCAAGGAGCAGAGAGCGCGTCAAGGACAGAGGTAGAAGGTCCCGTTCGCACTCACCTAAGACACACAAACACACTTCGAAAGATAAAAGGGAACATGGCGAATTATCATCTCACTCGAGTAAAGACAGATCAGGAAGAGAACGTTCTGATATTGACAAGAAGTTGATACCCACTTGTGGGTCTAATAGTCTCAATAGACGAAACACTGAGCCCTCGAGTGGTCTTGGGGGCTATTCACCTAGAAAGAGGAAAACAGATGCAGCTGGTAGAACACCTTCCCCTACCCGTCGCTCTCCAGAAAGGAGGACAGCTGGGTGGGATTTACAACCTGCTCAGAAAGATACCTTCGTGGCTAGTTCAGCTCTTCCCAATCTGCAATTGCTGCCTCCTAGCCAGAATGTTGCATTGAATGTGATGAATTTTCAGAGTGTCATTCCAATGGCTCCTACTTTTGTGAGACCTACTGTAGTTTCTCATCAGAACATGTCTTCACAGATGCATGCCATAGAGGCTGTTCAGCTAACTCAAGCAACACGACCTATGAGGAGGCTTTACGTGGAAAACATACCTTCTTCGGCTTCTGAAAAAGACTTAATAGACATTATTAACAAGTATTTGCTGACATCTGGTGTTAACTACGTTCGAGGAACACAACCATGTATCAGCTGTATTGTATGTTTCAACCTTGAACGTGTTAGCTTACTTTATGTCAAGTATTTTGTCTTAATCGTGCCTGCTAATAACATGTGTGCTTGCCATTTTGAACTATAGATACACAAGGAGAAGAGCCAGGCTCTCTTGGAATTTTTGACCCCTGAGGATGCTACTTCAGCTCTTTCTTTGGATGGAGTGTCATTTTCTGGGTGCAACCTTAAACTAAGGCGCCCTAAGGACTTTGCTAGCGTAACAGTAAGAATTCCATGTTTTCACGTGAAAGCTTGCTCACTAACTAACGTTGCAATTTGGCATTATCGATGCTTTTTGACGAACAATTTGACATTTCTTCTGTACTAGCTTTATGTTATCGGCGTCTTTTGTCTTTAATTTTCTGTTTTTATGAGTGCTTTTGTTTACTATTTCCTTTCAATTATTGTTGTAATCAGCTTCTTTCTGTGAGGGTGTGTTTAAGATTAAACTGACCCACTATCTGGTAACTTTGTGTGTCGTAACTGTGGAATTGGAAAGAATCCACGAGATTGGATATCCAGGTCAAAATATGTTTTCTGTTTCACTCGTAAATGTACGAATCCAACCTGTGTTACCTATGCAAATTGGGTGCTTGTGCTGTTTAGCATCCTTTCTTGAGTCAGCGTGGTTGCAGTATTTGTGATTGAATGCACTAGTTCATACACTTAAGAACCAAGTACATTTCTAGTTTTCTTGATATTTCAATTTTTCTGTTTCGTGCTTTAGTCTTCTTTATATTGTCCATTGCAAATGGAGCTGGAAGAGTCATTGTTGAATTCTAGTGCTTCTTCTATTCGTGAAGTTTCTAGAAAAAAATATATCAAACGACGCAATGCACCTTGGGTCGCTACGGAAACAGCCTCCTTGTATAATTACAAGGGTAAGGTCTGCGTACAACTGACCCCCCAGACCCCAACCAGTTGGGAATATACTGGGTATGTTGTTATTGTTGTTGTTGTTGTTGTGTGCTTTAGTCTTCTTTATCTTCCACCCCCACCCCTGACCTCGTTTTCCCTAGCATGTATCAGCATCTTATCTCATGTATTTAGGAGTGTATTTCACTCGGCTAACTAATTTTCCATTGAAAAAAGCATTCTCCTCTTTATTATATGCAGCTTCTGAGGTATATTGTGGTTATTATTCCATGTAGCAGGTTTTCAGACAGTTGCTATTTTCATGCAGACTGGTCTTTCTGACAAATCAGTGGTTGCTGCTGATTGGATTAGCAATGTTGTAGAGGATTCTCCCCACAAGGTTTGCATCTTAAAAATTTAGCTTAAGTTGCATGGAAGATGTTTAGGCTGTAACTGAATACAAAAAGAATTATCTTTAACTACCAGAGAAGTTATTTATCGAATGGACTAAATTTTCAGAAAAATAAATGCTACTTTTACATAAGAAATTTGTTAAGGATGTGAAATTATAGTAGTTGTTGATTTTTAAAGTTGATGTAATGTGTAAGATAACAAGATCCTGCCACGTGTGCCTGTATGTCAAAGACGTGAACCATTATTTTGTTGTAGCATGACGCAAGATCAGTCACTACTAAAGATTTCCCTACAAAATCAACTATATATTAACTCATATATTTTAGTTAGGAATCATATTTACTTTTCTGATATCACAAACTTTAATCATTGCATTTCCATTTTATGCCATTCACACTCTCAAAATTCTTTGTTCCTTAAACAGTTTTTTGACGTTATTTGCTAGTTGACGAAAAATATCTCATGTATAGCTAACCACAGCCCTAATATTCCTCTTTAATGTGCCTAACAATTTTGTTTTGGGGACCTAGGATTCTTATACATAAGGGTGAACCTGAGCATTAAATGTACGTCAGTGTTCTTGGGAAACTTTCCACAACGAACTTAAGATTACGGCGTCATCTATGATTCTCATTCTCCAAATACATGATGCGCTGGGTTTTTTGATTCACTTGAGACCTTTTTCATAGTCGTTTGTCGATGTCATTATCGTTTCTGAAATGAGCATTTACCAATATGTTGTTAACAAATCCTTTCTTTTTTCATGCCACAGTTTGAGGGTAATAGATATATTTCCGCAAGTGCTTCCGATTAAATTCTGCTGACCTGACCTCAATAACTTCCATTTTGTCTGCTGCTGAAAAAAAAAAAAATATGTATAAGGGAACTTTTGTATGCTAGCAAATGAATCAGTTTTGTAACTGTTATTAATTGAATGCGTTTAACAAAATTCACATTTGACAATCTTTTGCATGAGTTCTTTTTTTTTTCAGATCTTTATTGGGGGAATCTCGAAACTTGTTTCTTCCAAAATGGTAAGTTAATGTGTCTTTTGTTCCAATACTCCTTTATCTTGCTAAAGCTTAATTATCTGAGACAATTATGCTTGCATGTACTCTTTTCAGCTTTTAGAGATTGCTAGAGCCTTTGGACCTGTGAAGGCATTTCGCTTTGAATTTATTGCTGATCGTAATGAACCTTGTGCATTTCTTGAGGTATATATTTTAATGGGAAAATCGTTCAATATGCAACTTAAATAGTGGCACAGGGTGCATCTGACTCACATATATCTGCTTGTATCGGTTCCTTAAATGTCTTGATGATTCATTTTCATATGTTCTAAATCAATATTCTCCTGCTGAAAAGATACTCCCATATCCTTCTTTCCCTGAGCTAATTTGTTTTTCTTCAGTACGTTGACCATTCAGTTACTTCAAAGGCATGTGCTGGTCTTAATGGTATGAAGTTGGGTGGACGAGTTGTTTCTGCAGTATTTGCCACTCCAGAAACTAATATGGTGGGTGAATATGTATACTCACAATACTGGAGGTTTCTTGTTGGCTATATATTTCTCTGAAACTATTATGTTCATTAGGAAAACATTGGAAAGTTGCCATTTTATGGGATTCCTGAGCACGCCAAGCCCCTTCTTGAGGAGCCCACAGCTGTTTTGAAGTTGAAGAATTTGGTATTGCTTCTTATTTATGTCTTCAATTTTACTTGTTTCCCCCATTTAGTGATGTTCTGGTGCTATGGAATGACCAAAATTCCGTTGTAATTTCAGTTGGATTTGGAAGGGCTCTCGTCACTTTCTGAGTCGGACCTAGAAGACATATTGGAGGATATAAGGCTGGAATGTTCCAGGTCAGCATACATGTGGATAATTATTAAAACTACCCTTGAGATTTGACCTAATTACAGAATGTCCCAGCCATTTTTTTCCCAAATTAATAATATCCCTTGTATTAAAAACACCCTGCAGGTTAGCATTTTTGTAACAGTCCCGTTTTGGTGGTCTATTTATGAATTGTAATTTTAGATGAGGGCTGTGGTTTTTGTAATTAGATTAAAAGTCAAGAGAGCTTCTTGTGCGCAACCCAAAATGACCTGGATTGACCAAAATTTAAATTTATTGCTTGTTAATCAAAGATTTTACTTGGTTACAATTAAATTCTGTAGGTTTGGGACAGTGAAGTCTATAAATGTTGCTAAGCCAACTAAGCCAACTGTCTGCACCATGGAAGCACGGGAAGTAAAGAATACAAGTGTGTCTACTGAGCTGTACAACGTTGAGGTTGCCAGTAGGAGTACTAGGACAGAACATACATGCAAGATCATTGATCGAGTTGGAGAACTCGACCAATCAGAACCTACAGTAACTCGTACTGGATTTGAGAATAATAAACGAACTGTTAGTTCAGACGAGACTATTGCTAGCAATGTTGAAAAGGATAAAGTCTGCAAACGACCTTCACCCGATGAAAACAATTCCGTGAAAGAGCCTTTGAGCCAGGAATATTCTCGCAGTTCTAATGGAGATCCTGCAGATGAAGAATATGATTCACCTATGGAGTTCAAAAACGAGGATAAAGTTGCAGGTTGCGTTTCCAAGATAAAAACTTCCATGGAAATTGAGAGTTTGACTGAGGGAGATTTGCAGTCTGAAGAGGAACATGATGCAAAAGTTGGAAATTCTGGCGATAAATTGAAATTAGAGAAGAACAAT